CTGGGTACTTTTTTTGCTGAGACTCGGCTCCGACTGTTGTGTGCGGAATATCGCTTCTACCAATGACCTCATCAAAGAAATATTGATGTATTAACAATGGGCTCTTTATGACCACGTATGACATCTGAATATAAAGCGTTCAAAATGCAGTCATCTTCCGCAGTGAGAATAACGCGCGAACATTCGAATTCAGCACCTACGACGTCTGTAAATCCAGCCAAATTCTACGGATTATATCCAGTAGTATTGCAACAAAGGTTGCTCTTCATACATTGGACTGTACAAACCTTCTCGGTCTTTGAATAAGAAAAGTCAATAACCATTCAATTTGCGTTATATGTGGAACTAATACTCATGAGAGAAATCGTAGACTTCAACGTGCCTTTATCCGATATCCTAGTGCTATGACCTCAAGAAATCAGGAGCTCTTTCTCAATGTGTGCCGTCGCTCTGGTCGCAGAAATCAACAGAAGACCAGATCAGTGTCTTATATCTACACTTGGCAGTGAAGCGGTTACTCAATTTATAATTTGTTACTCAGGTTCTAATAGTACGACAATAATACCCTTTGTTACTGCTCGTTCCTCTCGACAAATCTCGACAAAAAGTAGTAATATCTGGCGTCATAGCATCCTACTTTGCAACCGTTTACTTTAGGCGTATCTTGAGCGGACAATGTGCATAGCAATGTCAAAATTTCCTTTTTTGCGATTTGCGCTTTCTAATAAGGGATTGTTTCAGGCATCTTTGGAGGGCAAGCAGGGGCTGCAGACTGTCAATTCAAAGCGTTTAGAAAGCGTTTTATAGGCATCTTATGAACTTGCAAAGCTCCATGCATCTTAAGGCAAGCCTCCGTGTCACCTTTGTGAGTTTGCTACATCACTAACAGCGCAGAGCTTCGCATGGGTCCGACGTGCTTATCCGTTGGACGGAAACTCATACCTTACGGGAGAATTGTGTGTGGGTTCTCCCAGTCGCTTAGACAATTTGGGATGTAGGTTATTTATCAGTGTTTGAAGAACACCGCGATAAACACATCAACTCAATGGCCACTGCGAAATACTATCCTCCACTTATCAGTAACTTTGTGTGTTTTTATGAGAATATTCACAATACTTATGCGTTATTGCACACATCGTTCCGACCAACCAATTTTGACAATGCAGCACGTTACTCTCTTTAGCTTTTTTTTCAAAGAAGGAATGCTTTCTTTTAGGACCTTCCGAATAATATGATTCATCAAGTCAAAATCAAGTCCTTGCCACAAGAGTGGCTTTGGTGTGAAACATGGTGTGATGATTCCAGTAAAAAGGAGGCGAAGACAATCGACCTTGTAAGTCGCTTCTTCAGATAAGAATATGCGTCAACGTTTAATTCTGCTAATTTAGTGCAACAATCCTTTAACGAAGGAACCTAAGTTGGATTCCGCTATCCGTATTATTCCAGAATGGAAACATTATGATACTGAAATAAGGGGTGTATTGGAAGGCAAGCAAGAGATTAAAATACTGAATCTTCATAACCACAGAGAATTGTAGTAGGTTGTCGGTTCTAGGATTGTTTTCCCCTATATAGTGTTTTGTTATGAGTTTTCTCCCTCTGACAGGATGAGGAAACCAATAATTTTTCACTGTAATGCTGGAGTTCTGGTAGATATGGTTTTCTCTTCTCACAGTTCTCATAAATGATTTCCTCACATTTTCATTCTTCAACAAGAATGAATTTTACAATTTCTGATCTATTAATGTACTGAAGGGTATGTCTATCGCTATCAGTGTCGTAGTTTATACAACAAGAAAAACTTGTATTTGAATGTAGGACACATAAATGATATGATTACCAATGATGCTTAACGTTAACTCATTCATTTGAAGATCATTGTTGCATTGAACCATAGTAGCTATTTTTGGAATAGTTCTTGTTTTTAAACCCAATTGGTTCCGCGATCTTTTGTGAAATTCATTCATTTTGAAATACAGAATCAAGAAGTCTCGTGTAGTTTTGAATAGGGCATCTAGCCGGGACTGGGAAAATGCCGTCCGTCGAAAGGTTCACCTCCGGAATTTAACGTGTTCGCCTAAATCTTCCTAACAACCGCTCCTTTGTCCTCTAGTGTTTATGTTCGGAGGCATTTTTTATATTTCTTCTGATGGATTATCGGAAGGGAGGGTTTATCGACAGTGTTTGAGGTGCTGCCAACAAAGATAGGAGGTTTGTTTCTTGTAAACCTTTTTGGATAGCGTGTTTTCTTTCCAATAGAAGCCTGCAGATGTTTTTTGATATTTAATCAAGTACGCGCCTTGCTCTAACTATTAGTACCGTTCGTCGCAATTGCTTAAGATAGAACGCTTCTGCACGTTATATTTATGAGTCACTTCATTTATTATACAGGGTGTCCCAAAATTAGGGGCGCCAAAATTCAGGAACTCCCAAGGCAGAAATAATTTACTGATTTCGCTTTGTTCACTATTGATTCGCGGTATGCATAATTACTCAAGTGAGATCGCCATTGTCCTTCGGAGACGGAGAGTAATGGCTCATTCAGTGCCACTTGCAATGGTATGTGGAGGCAGAAGAGCATGGTAATATTTTCGTGATTCCAATATTGAATAGAAGTAGAGTCAGGCAAAAGTAAACTGGGAAGCAAAGAAAGGTTGGTGTTTCTCACGATCGAGCTGTTATAATAATTAGTTTGTTTGCGGGTCGATCGTAACCCTTGGTGACCTATGAAAAGTAACAAAGTTGTCGATGTGGCGAATTGTCGTGCAGAAGCTTCATTGTCACACCTATCGTGTGCAGAAATGTCACTTCATTTCCGATCCCAACAAGCAGTGTAGGGCTGAAATCACTTGGGTGTGAAGACGCTTAACTTCGCTTAGTTATAGTTATAGTTTTAGTTATTATTTCGCTTGTTTGAGTTCTCTTAGTTTTCTCTAGCAAGCATTTTTTTACGACAGCATTCCTCAACAAATAAAGCAGTGACTTTCTGGATAAGAACGTCGATAGTGCATTTTCTCACGAAAAAGTGGTTCTGGAAACAGCAAAATGGTGTTTACTGAGGGAGTCACGGTTAGTGATATTAGCTGAGGGAGTTACGGCCAGTAGTAAGACAATGGTCGGTACCCGCGTGAAAATTGATAACGACGTGCATAGAGAGCATACTGATAGACGGAACGAAGCACTGATCCAACTCCGTCCCCTGAGGCAGCTCGTAGTCCCCCGGCAGGACGGTGCTCCAGCCCATAGAGGCGAGTTAGCTTGAAGCTGCGAGCTGCTCGACTTCACTAGCATTGTGGTTTCTCGGTATGGTCTCTAATTAAAACCTGACGAGTTCGCAACTCCGGTTTGGATTCCTTGAAAACAAGACTCAAGGACGGCTGAGAAAAGGTGGAGAAGGAATACCGCGTGCATCCTATGACGAGTTCGAGAACAGGCTCTGGGCCTCTATTCCTGCTGGTAGGGGTTATTTTAGATGGTGGTTGTAGACTGTTATTGTACAAAATGTAAACAATACGTAACGTAACGCGAAACAAATTTCATTGTCGTCCTCAGCTTCGAAGCCCTAAATTTGTTGCAATGAATAGCCTCTACCCCGTTCACGGGGCACATTTTGGAATGTGATTGCAGCATATTATAGCACATAACGTTAGCCCACGTGTATACATGGTCCATTGCCATTTTCAACTGAGATGTAAAATTATATTGTTATGAATTGGCGCCCTTCATTTTGGGACATCCTGTATATAGTGAGAATATTTCTCTGGCGTCTGGACTATGATGAGACCAAATCAGAGAAATTCGCTAACGACACCAAATCCAGCGCAGGTCCCGCCCCACAGGAGAGGATCTCCGCCAGGCTCGCATGTGCTGTTTTGCACTAACCCTATGCTCATCTCATTCTAAACTTGACCCAATCTCTCCACGTGTATCTTTAGGTAATATCATATCTCGTGACAAACAGACTGGAGCGCTTTATATATAGTAAGTAGTATGATGACTAGTAACTTGCATTGAAGCTATGCCAGTAACCTATTCACTGCGTGTCACAGGGACACAGTAACCTGAGGATTCTTATGGAAAATCATGTTTTACTATCTTCTGAAAATCCTCAAGTGGGGATGCCGAGGAAATTTATGCTAGATATCAGCCATTCAAGGTGAGATGTGTAACGGCGTAAGTGGTTTCAAACGCTGATTCCAAATCTGGGTCCCAAATCTGCGGAACGATTCTGGGAACGAAGTTACGAGCCCTTTTTCCCCAGGTGTTGCATTTATGCGCGACTCGAGCAGCTCCGAACATGACCGAGTTGGTAGGACGCTGGAGTGGTAGGCGCGACACGGAGATTTGAATCCTTGATGCATTTGCTTGTTCTGCTTTTTTATAAAAGTGTCCTAAACGCTTGCAAAACCCATTTACGCATCGCATAGACCACTTACAGCCCTCCTTCATATTCAGGGCCATAAATGCCAATACACGGAACGAATATGGGTGCACTATAAGTCCAGCAGAGAAGAGCTACGAAAGCTTTGCTCAAAATAGAATTGTGGAATTTCGAGCAAAATCTTGAGGATTCGAGAGAAACACACGATCAAAACATTCATTCGATCAAAGTGTTTCCAACATGTTACCAGCCATATGTTCTGCCTAAAGGTGGTCGTATCGCATTTGTTTCCCACTTCGAACTGGAGATTAGGGCCGGTACAACGCAAATGATGAGCAAAGAACTTATACAGGATGGGGTCAGGTTATGTGCAGGATCAACAGATTCGCCTTCAACCCTAATGACCGTCTCTTCCTAGAGCTTGTTCAAGGACCATGAAGCGATTCAGGTTGTTTTGCTAACTGGCAGGGGGTTGAAAGTGCTCAACATCCACCTGGATTAACCTCCCAAATTCAGCCACTCGATATTATTTCTTACCATTCCAAGCCATGTATGAGTGTATTGTTTCTTTCGTAATCTCTCATCATCAGAACTTCCACGTTAGAGAACGCAACTCCATAATGCGCCTCATCTCCCCAGTACACTTCTTGTTTAGCGCGCTCAGATTCAAAGAGTTTCTTTCTCATTCATTGGTTTGCAGCAGGGTACCTGGATACAGACCCGGAAAAATTCGAAACTTCTGTTTATACTGTTTCTCATCTCATCTAGACAAGAGCTGTAAGAGCGCTGTGTGTGATGAACTATTTTTCATACGTTGCTCTCATTGTGAGAAGCCTATCTGTTTGAACACTTCGTGTTCGATTACCGTATCTGTTCATAAAATGCTCATCTATTATTTTTACAGTACTTTTGCATAAAAGTGCCAGCTGAATTGTACCACCTACCTCCTATCACTTTCTAGAGGAGGCACGACTTCATCCAAAAGCGCTATTGTCTGACGAGTTGCCCGGCTGCCCTCTGTCGAAATTGCATGGAGCTGCTAAATTTCGTGACCACGTCTTAAATGCCCGGAGCGGATAGGTTCTATGTGCACCCCTACACGGTCTGTGGAGGCGAAAAATAAGTATGAAGGAGGGCTGTAAGTGGTCTATATGATCGTAAATGTATTTTGCATGCGTTTAGGACACTTTTATAAAAAAGCAGAACAAGCAAATGCATCAAAGATTTGTACCTCCGTGTCGCGCCTACCAGTCCACGGTCTGCTGTATATAGAACGCCTTCATGCATATTGGCTATGTTGAAGCACTTACTCAAAGCGGTTGGTGGCTTTGTCGACCCCAACTTTTCCTTTCACCTACGTGGAGGTTTCAATCTCACGAAGATTTTATGGCAAAAAGGCAGAACCACGGAACCAGTGGAGCGCGTGTGTACCTTTTTACTGGGACGTGTCGAGGTATAATGTATGTCAAGCAGTTGTGCAGTGCACTCACTGGTCTAAAATTTTTCTGCACTATCCCAGGTTTAAAGTCTCTGGTCCGAAAAAAGCAAGGGCTATTTTCAGCGGAACATAAACGCCGCAGCACACTTCGTGCGTTGGGTTCGTTCCCTCCTTTCCGACTCGACCGCGTGTTTTTACTCAAAGTATGCTCATTTCATTTCACGCCTCCTCGAATATCCTCCCATCCCCTCCCCCATACCTACGCCGGTTCCTTTTCATTTCCTTTCTACTACCTACCATTGGTGTCATAAATCTGCCGCCTGCACTTCATCCGAATTTGAGCGCCAAGGTCAAAGTTTGCAATTTTCTCGTGCATTCCACCTCCTATGAGTAAAGCCAAGCCATGCCACCTCCCGTCAGTATTTCCATCGTGCCGCCAGTATTCATAATAACTTGGAACGCTATAGGTGCTCTGGAATAGGAGCTATGGTTTTCCGATCAATCCCTACCCACTGCTAAACAGTGGATGGAGTCCGGTCACACCACACTGAATAATTGTTTCCATTTTGCTATTGTTCCTATCAAATGTGAACGCTCTAGGTGCGCGATGAATTCCTCATCAAACGTTTACTCCGCGCAAACCCCGCCTCATGTAAGCGGAGTCCATTCCTGCAACTCACCATGATTGTTCCCATCCTGCCGTCAGTATACCTAGGAAT